TTGAAGTTCAGTCTCTCTTCCCTAATGCAATAATCTCTCTCCCCTGTTAGAATAATCTTGAATAAAGTCTTACTTGAATGCTTAACGCCACCTGGTGCAATTTTTCCTTGACATTATGATTGTGTTATCATCATATAACACCTTCGGAAATTTGCTGCCTGTTTTGTTATCTGAAGCCATTTGCCTAACATACTAAAAGCTGCCCATAAAATCACTTGGTGTCATTTGGGGGATAATGTTTTCTGGTTAACTTGAATTTTCTGTTTTTAATAAATTATGGTGATTTAGAAATTTAGAAATTGCCTATTTCATCTAAAATTTAAACATATTTACATAAAGTTTAGTATTATATTCACCTGTGATTTAAAATTTTCTATTTTATTTGTAAAGTGCTACATGCCCTTTCTCCTAATATTTCTTATCTACAATCTCTCTGTCCCCTTTTTTCTATCTCTTTGTCTCTCTCTTTTTCTTCCCCTTGGTGGCCGGTCTTGCTAGAGGTTTGCACATTTCATTAATCCTTAAAAAAAAACATTCTTGCTAACGTTTGTCTGCTTATATATCATTTTCTGATGAAGAAGGGATGTTAAAATCTCTCAGTATTATTGATATTTTTCTATGTAATTCCTGGTTTAAACTTTAATTTAAAGAGTTTAATTCACATAAACACACATGTGTGATGTTATATAAACTCACGTAGGTGATTATGTTATGCAAATTCCCACATATTGGTTTTTCATGTTGTTTTATTTAGTCAGAATGTTTTTTTTCTTTAATGCTTGTATCCCCTTCTCCTTGTCACCCCTCCCATAAGCCATATTATCAACCTAGTCTATATCATAGTATATAACCTAGTATATTTCTTCCATACTTTTCTAATCATCTCCAAACTTCTATAGAAATGCATATCATGGCAGAAAGCACAAACTGCAACAAAATCAATTCTCCTTTTCCTCACATCCAGAATCCCTCGCAATCAAGTGTGTCAGAGCCCAAGTCCTCCCCAGTGGCATGGGAACATTGCCTGCCACCTGCCACACATGCCATCATGCTCCTTCCTCTTTGGGGCTTACTATGATGCCAAGACACAGGCAGGACTTGGAAGCCATTTATCGAAGATGCCAGAGCCTGCCCCAAATGACCCCAGCCCACACCAACACCTACCTGAATGCCTATCTCATTAATTTTTTTCATATGATTTAGAATTTGGGGTTGTATTTTGACCTGAGTGTGGTGTTATTGTGGTTGTGGCCACTTTCCCTTCTTTTTTGTTGTTGTTGTTTTATTTTTTTATTTAATTAGGATTGTGTAGTTCCTTCCCCAGGGCCCAGTCTCACTCTGGGCCTCTAGTCCAATGTTTACTTTGAGGACTCCATATCCCTGCCCCACAGTGTTAGCAGGAATATTCCTAAACAAGTCACTCTTCCAGCAGATGACTTTTCTCAGGTCCTGGATGAGGTGCTGAGTCTATTTTCTCTATTTTCTTCAGTCAGCATTTTCCTATAAACTGTAGCCCCAGAGAACAATTGGCAGCAACTGTTTTTTAGCTTCTTTTCCTGAATGGGGGATCCACTTTCAGAACCTGGGTAATTGCAGTGAAACTTGCTTAAAAGCCCTGCCTATTCTAATGGAATAAACTACACAGGAGCACAATTCTTGGTCAGCAATTCTGCTTAAGGCTACAGAGCTCAGCACCCACACAGCTTCATTCTGGCTCATTACATTGTTTTCTATTCTGTTTTCATCCAATTATATTTCTTCCTCTTGATTGCACATGGCTATGTCTTTTTAAATTTATCCATGCAAATTTTATCATTTTTTTTAAAGACTGGAGAAAAGAAGAGGTCTTGAAGCTTGAAATATATACTTCCATTTTTCTGGAAAAAGAGACTTTAAAAAGCCAGATTCCTCATCTCCACCACATAATTACTAAATCAGTATCTCTAGTCACGGGTCCTGGGCAATATTTTTATTTTAACTCAATAGGAGATTTTCATGCATAACCAGATTTAAGAACATAAATTAGACTGTGTCTCCACCTTTATTCAAAGGAGAATAGGCTATATTTATTTAAATCCTGTAATATTAACGCACAATAGATTAATTTCTCTTTCAAGTGCATATGATATGGTCATGTTACATCTGATGCTCCGTTAGTGGAAATTAATGAAACCTCTGAAGAAGCTCTCTATTTACTAAAAGAACAAGGGTTAAACCTTTAACCTAACAAACTTTCTTTTAAAATTGATTCCTGGTAGTAAAGATTTATTTGAAATGTGACTGCTCTATTATGTGTGAGATGGCATTAACCCCCTTTAAGGAAAGAAAATCTAATGGGACACCACCTCTCACAGGTGAAAGTGAAAGTGACTTTGCATTTCATAATTGCACTTTACTGATAAAATGTCTGAGTACTGTCATTCCCATTGAGTACCACTGGTCTGCATTTTGGTTGTTCGACAGAAAAAAAAAAAAAGAAAAGAAATTCAATGCATAAAATTTTGAAGCACCATTAATGTTCTTGTACATATCTAGGAGAGATCATCACCACTTTAAATGAGAAAATAAAAATGACTAATAAAATATCCTGACAGTAATTTGAAGGCTCAATTTCTAAAATAATATTTTAGAATAATTAAAATAATTATTTAAAATAATTATCCTGATGAGTGTGTTTAATTTGACTTTTTATACAAACCCTTATCTATGCATATTGCTTATTAAAAAGTATGAAAAAAATGGCACAATAAAGATTTAGCATTAGTGAAATAAGGATTTAACCTTTAAAATGCATCTTCTTCAATATGGTATAAGTTGCCACTGTGCCCATCACTGTTATCTCTGACTGTGAACTGGCTGATGCTACACTGACCATATCATGTGGGGTTATGGAAAGAAAATATCTGGAAAGGTAGAAGAAGAGAGAGAAGACTCTCAAGTAGATGCTTCCAATGATTACAGACTGAATTGAACAAAAGCTGAACTTCTTTAATAAAAATGTGGAAATTTATAAAACTCCTGTATTGTCCTCATTTTTAATATTTCTGCCTTAGATTGGCAGAGGAAATATAGCATCATTGTGTGATTGCTAAATAGCTTTGGAGCCATTTCGATTTAGATTGTTATGTAAATGTCCAAGCCAATCAGCAGTAAGATCGTTAAAGAAATCTAGAATTTATTTAAAATAAATTAATGTTCAGGTAAATCTGGGCAAATTTTCTTAGTGTTCACAATTAAGTCAAACTTTGAATAACAAAATGTGGCAATATTTATCTGTCTGCTGGACATTTAACATTACATGTATGAATGCTCTTGCAAGGCAAAATATTCTAACATACATTTATGCCAAATAATAAAACTGGGCATAGCACCAAAGTAACTACTATCGTAGGAGATGATTAAAATAAAGTTTTTGGTATAATAATACATTTCTAAAATGAAGAATAAATGCTTTAATAGGTTTGGAGCCATGTTGCTTTAAATACTTTTTTTTTTTAAAGTACATATGTGAGCTGAGGAAAACAACATGTTGTGCTCCTACGTTTCATTAAATAGCAATTTTGATTAAATTATCATTAATTGCAAAATTAGAAAACTATAGTTAAGGGTATGGTTTTTATCCACTGCTACACTGACTAATGAGGCCTCTCTGCATCCCTAATTTCTCCGTCTGATTCTTTTGTCAGCTTTCTCCTCCCGCTGTTCTCCGTATCTCTCCCAACTCCAACACATACTTATATAACCTTGCCAGAAGTCCTATTACTTTTAATTTTTAAAAAATGCAAGTACGTTGAAATTATTACTGCTAAGTCTGCCTACATTGGCCAGATCTTCTCTTCAGAGTAAATGTACAAACGGGCTCTATTTCCAGTATTCATTTTAGTAAGTATATTTCATGATTTCTATAATTTCAGTGGTTCACTAATATGGGTACAATGAAACATTTACAATGTTCATTTTGGACACCAAGAATTAGACAACCCTGAGTACAACATCATGCCCACAGAATGTGCTCAGATTAGTTAGAAACTAAGTATATTACACTGGACTTAGAGTATTTACTTATGTTTTAGGGGACATGCTTTAATGCATGGCATATCAGATGCCACCTTACTCCAAGCCTATTACAATGGGAATGCTGGAGGTGAAACAGCACATTAGAAAGAGCACAGCTTGATTTAGTATACTGAAGTTCTAATGCTGGCTCTGCTACAAACTATAATGACTTTGAAAATGTTATTGATTATTCAGGTTTTATTTATCTGTGAGACCAGGGGCTTAGACAATAGTTTATCTCTAAGTTCCTCCTAGAAAAAAAAATATATATATATATATATATATATATATATATATGATTCTATTATATCAGGACTTAGAGAATAGCAAACTTTCACTGATAAGTTTTAATTATTTCATTTTATCTTAAATCTTTGATTTCCATGGCTTTTCCTGAGATTCTCCTTTGGTTATCTATAAAATGTAAATTTCCCCATTCCACTACAAACCCATGGAATCAGAATAGCATATGATTTTTTAAAAGTTTTTACATATTTCTGACACAGCTACTCTTTGTTGTTTCAGAATACAATTTAGAATTTGATGATGGGAAATAGGTCCTTTTTCCTTTGTTCAAAAAAATATGAGGGCATATGAAAGCTACGTTTTTGAGAACCTGAAAAAGAAATCATATATTACTTTGTTGCAAGTAACTGATTATGCAATAGGCAGATCAATGTGGTTTCACATTTCATTATACAATATTACCTTTTTCATTTAGAGAAGCTAGAGTCTTCACTTCTTTCCCCTTAATAGGCTCTGGAAAGAAACATTGGGCATTTATTTGAAGCCAAGATAAAGAGGTTTGCAAACACCTATATAATGAAGTCAGTGAGCTATCAGTAAGCTGAAAGTAGGTGGAAATTATATGATGCTTTTTTTTTTTTCAAAAATGATTTTAATCATACGGAGGCAAAGAAAGAACAGGATAGAATACAACAAGCCATCTTCTAATCATTTTTATTTAGTGTAAACAGAAATAGTTGAACAAGCTATAATCTACCTGTTGGTTTAAGAGGATGAGTGTTTGGATGGACAGGAACTTGCTTATCTGTAATTTAAAAAAACACATGACTTCAGCATCTAGAAGTTGATCAAAACTGTTTAATCAGCACTAACAGTTTATTTCAGGCTATGTTTCTTCAAAAATTAAACAACCAAGTGGAAAATCCTGTATACACCTTGTAAATGTGGTGTTTTAGTCTTCACACTCAAGTCAAACAAATTTCAAGAATAAGATTAAAACGAAATGAGAGACAGTTTTATCTATGAGTTCCCAAAGTCTTAAAAACATGGGCCTTGGTTGAAGTAAATCAGATAAACCTTCATTGATTCTACCAGCTTCAATATATATCTTCAGTGTGATTCTGACCATATCATGGGCTCCAGATATATATATGCACAGTGCCTTGAACATCATTATATTTTCTCAATAGCCTATTAAAAAATAAAAGATAAACCCATTTTCTGCTTCCTGTGCAACATTTAAGCTCAAAATTTTAAGGATAAAAATGACTTTTAATGTGATGGAAAGGGAAGTAAAGAAAGAGATCTGTCCCTCCAGCTCTTTTTTCTATTCCTACCTTATGGCTTGGGTGGAAATGCAGAGAATATGACGGTAGCACTTGTAAATGGAGATGCTACTCTAGCAATCACTCAGAATTAACTGAGGTCCAGGTAGCTTTGGATGTGTGAAGAATGAATTTAGAAGTTCCGTTAAAAATGCTGTGTCTTTCAAAGCAAAATTTTCTTCGTGGATAAGCTACAGCCTTAGCTATCCATATGCATGTACAATTTTTTAAAATGGCTCTGGTGGCAAAGAAACGTTAGTGTTGCTATTTATAGTGCTCACTATAAGTAAGGCCATTTTTTTTTTCTATATTTCAGCATGTGAAGATGAAATCAAGAGCCATGGATTGAACACACACAGTAGAAAGCTTCATTAACTTTTTAAAAAGCTGGTGGGGATAATTTACCGTTCCTGCACTTTCTGGCCAAGCCAAATGAATTAATGTGATGTGAAATGAGATGTGGGGGGTGGGGGGGACAGACTCCCGGCGGGGTGGGCAAGTGCAATGCCTGGAGTCTTGGGATTCGAGATTCAGCATGTTGATTTAAATGGGTGAGGGAATTTGTGTGAGATTAAAGTAGTTATAAAATACAGGACTTAGGGAGAGGACCCACAAGATCACTTGATTTTGGTGGAGAAAGAAGGAAGAGGTGGGATAACAGATACTCTCTTATAGGGCATTCAAAGGTAGTGAAAGGTCACAGAAAATAAAAGTGATTTCCAAGTTTGCTAATGGCAAGATTCCTCCTGCTCCCAGGCTAGGTCATCACTCGCATATACTTCCCTGTAGATCATTTCTTCTCAGTGTCCCTATAATCCCAGGGGATTTTGACCTGATGTAGGAAGTCCACAGGCTTGTCTGAGAAGTTTCTAAATACCAAAGAAAGTGAACAGGATATCAAATCTGACAAAAAGGGGAAGAGAGTAAAATGTGGAAACTCTGCACTTCTGTATTAGGAAGAAGAGGTAAATCAGTGGTTTGGGTCAGCTCTTAGGCCACTTTTCAACCACCTTTCTTGTTTGCAAATATTGGAAAGCATTTTTTTATGAATAGTATAGTTTCTCTGTGTTTGTTCAAGAGCCTACAGGAAGATCTATAAATCTTGATGATCAGGGCTTAGAAAGTAGTTAATGGTGCTGGAATACAAACTGAAACTCTGTCAAAATGATCTGGGCAAGGCATCCATGATGGAGAAAAAATTCACAAAGGAATGAGAAGATGGTTTGAAGTTTGCCATTCTTGTACCCTACCCCCAGAAGGAAAAACATGGATACTCAAAGGTGGATGATGAGGTGCAGCATTGCTGGGGATCAGTTTCAAAGTCTTCAGACAATTTACCATAACCTTAGTTCTAGCTTTGGGTTGATAAGTGGGAATGGCTGAGTAAAAGCATGCTGAAGACAAATAGAGGTTGGGGAATCATCAGGAATGTGATGTTGAGCATCAGGACATAAAGGAAGATAAGCTCTGCTGAGAATCCTCTGGTGTTATATCCAAACACACACAGGCCTGGGTCACAAAACTAGTCAATAATTCTGATGTCCCATAACAGAGTAACCTAAAGGTGCTACTACTGCATTCTCAGAGGAGGAGAAATTAATTAATCTTTGTTGTCTGTTTGGGCTTGATTTACAGTTCCTTGGTTCATAAGTGAAATTTCCACCCTCAGATAAGTCAGACCAACTGTTAGAAATAAGTGGTGATGGGATAGGGGTGGATGCCACAAAGAAGATGACCAATAACATGGGTGACTGATATCATTTGCTGGCTTCTGGGTGGTCAAGGCCACATAAGCAGAGCTATTCCCGTGTGTATCTGTCAAGAAGGCTTAAGTGAGTCCACTGGTCCAAGCAAGTCAATAGCTGAACTGGCAGTAAAAGTCAGCTGGACGTGTCTTTCTCCTGCTCTTTTTCTTTGGAACAGTCATCCCTAGAGCTCTGTACATCTTCTTGAATAAAGACACAAGCTTAATAATGCTTCTCTGAATGCTTAATTCATTCATGGTTATCACATCTCCGGTGAATGTGGACCCAACCATTTTCTCTGTTATAACACTGGTTTTAGAATTGTAGCATTGCTTCAGTATGAGTTTGGATGTGTACATGCAGGTGAAATCTAGCAAATGCAGGCAGCCTCTTAGCTGCTTCCCAGAAACAGTCACAAAATACAACTTCAATAAAATAATGGCTTTTTAGCAAGCGAAATCGCTGCATTCTGATTCTGCCACAGTGGGCAGTAGGCTTCAAAGAGACTTTCTGAAATAACACTGGAGAGGCTTTTAAAATCTGTAAAATCTTAGGTAATATGGCAATTTTTTCTTCGATTTTTAGTAATGATATATTCAGAAAAATGAAAGAGAACAGTAAAATCCTTCTAAAACAGTATCCATCTTATGTATAACAAAGACATTTAGGAGCATTAATGCAGCTTGAATAAAAAAAGAGGTACATTTTAAATGGTCCTACATCGGCAATCATATTTAGTAAACTTTCATATACACAATTTTCTAATGATTGTGGAGACATCTTGCAAATAGTATAGAATTTTACATTGAGGAAAAAGTGTTCACTGGGAAATTGCCTGCAATTGTACGTTAATAACAACAACAACAATACTACAAATTACAGATGCCTACTTAGGGAAGTGGTCAGTATGGTTTTTAATCCCCCAGAGTACATTTTCCAGGACAGATTTTTGCAATTATTCTTCCAAGTACTTTAAGCTATGGCACATGTGAAGTCTGTAAGTGGTAGTTTACATTTTTGATAATTATCATTGCTTAAAGAGTAAGTTTGGTAGTAAGTCCCACCCTTTCTTTTGAGCAGCTTCTATAGTAAAAAGTAATATGCGGTCAAAATAGTCCTGTGACATAAGTGTAGCTCAGAAGAAAGGTATTGCATACTTCGTCAAAAGAAGAGAAGGTTTAGATTTTGCAAATTGTGTATTTCAAATTATATATGTATACTTTTTCCTGGTTGTATGTTTCAATGACAACTTTAGTTTCACATAGTCAAGGATGCTGTTTTTATTAACTTTCAGATAAAGTGAGAGTGGGGTATGGAAAGTGTACTTTTCCCAAAATACAGGTAATCGTTGGAGAAAAATAGACTAGACATTTCTGTGGGAATTAAGTAGAGCTAGCCCAACAGCAAAAATCTAAGACTATTTTTCCATATTGCATATTCAATGCATCTATGTCAAACAGATTTTTAAAACTTATGTAATGAGGTATACACTCAATGCAAAGGGGATCTGAAGAATACAAATACAAGAACCCGATTCTAAGGAGTAAGCAATGTCAGTGTTAAAATGAAAAGACGGACTTTAAAGTTGGACAGACCTGACTTTGACTCTTACCTTCCCCTTTTACCCACAGTGTGATACTGAGTAACTTACATTAAATATACTTCAGCTTCTCTTTTTATAAAACTTGAGGTAGCAAACACATCTTGCTGAAAAAAGTATGCAAAGTACTTATCAATGTGCCTGGCAAAAAGCAAATGCCCTGCTTCTGGACTTCCTTCAAAAAATTCTCATACCTTTACCTGACTGACTCCTCATCCTTCTCACTTTAATATAATTTCTTCAAAAAATCCCTGCTTAATACCCCAGACTTGATTAGAATCTCCTGTTACACCTTCCCATAGCTCCCTGTAGATCTCTTTTATGATTCTTAAAATTTTAATTAATTATATTATGAATACTGTAAATTCTATGAGGCCATAGACCATACTTTTCTTGTCTACTGAGTGTCTGTATTGATTACTGCACATTAGATGAACAATAAATAATTATCAAATGTTGTACTGATCTGTCCACATGAAAAGTAAAGTGAATAACACCAGATCATGATACTTAAATAAATGGCATTGTAATTAATTACATATACATATTCTATAGAATAAATTATAAATATTATAAGTGTATTAATTCAGAAGAGAGGGGTTTTAGCAAAGGTGGAAAGAGAGAAGTCTTCATGCTTTATGGGGACAATATTCTTAGAAAGAGACCTAGGATTTGAGGGGACATAGAGAAAGGCAGTCAGTCCATCCAGAAGATTGAAGTCACACAATTTAAATAAGAATATCATACTTTTTCATAGCAGTATGGAGCTTGACAAAAATAAAGTAGACAAAGTATGCCTAAGAGCATTTGAAAATAACAGAATTCAGAACTCCACTTATCATACTCCCTAGTTTTAGCTCTTCTCTTTTTTTTCTCCAATGATTAACAAGTGCTTGGAAGGTATCACACACTACATATAAATTTTATAAATGGATAGAGAGAATCAGAGGCACAAAGGCAAGTCCTTCCTAATATTCTTTACTTCCTTTCTATATATTTTTTTACTTTTTTTATTTTTTAAGAAAAAAACTTTTTATTTCTTTCTCTCATTCTTTTTATGGAAATTGTAGTCAGAGCACTTTTTAGGTCATAGTGAACCATAAGAAAGTACTTTAGGGACAAATTAAATACTAGTTTTAAAAACTATGAGTATGATCTGCGCAACCTGGGTTCACACAACTGCAAATGGGATGCTGCTAATGTATTACGTACTCATTCAGATATTTTTACTAATAAACTTCTCACATTATATTAAACTGACTCTGTTACCTTTATCCTTCAGAACTGAAGAGGTCTTCCCAGATTTTTCTTTCTTAATTTCTGCAAAAAAGATAATGGGAAGGAAAGGTTACAAGGAGTAACAGAGAAAAAACTTGAAGTTTCTTCATGTGTTTTCTTTTTGAGTCTTAAAGAACCAGAGGGCCTCTGAGTTGATATTAAAGATGCAAAAGTCTCCTGGGATATAGTGCCTATAAGGCATTGAACTAAATATGCAGAAGATAAAAAATAAGCCCATGAACTCTTATTACAAGGAACAGACTATGACAGACTCAAAATAGGTACAAATAAAATGCTATGGGCTTTGTAGAAAGAAGATATGGTAACAGTAATAGCTAACACTGTCTGCTTACTATGTGCCAAGAGAGTGCAGTGGAAGTGATGCTGCGTGACTTCCAAGGCTAAAGCAGAAAGGGGCATGCACTTATCACCTGCTTATCTAGTGACACTCACTCTGGGAAATCCAGCTGCTATGTAAGTCATCCAACTGACACCATAATGCTGGAGAGGCTACATATGGGCAGTCCATTTTACAGCCCCAGCAGAGCTCTCAGCCAGCAGCTAGCAACTGCCAGCCATCTGAGTGGGCCATCTTGGACACCCACGAGTCGGTGATTTTACACGACTGTAGCACAGTCTGACATCTGACTGCAATCACGAGATACCCATGAAAACTGCCTAGTTTATCTCTCCTGAATTCCTGATCCACTAAAGCATGAGCAAAGTAAAATCAGCTGTTGTTTTATACTACTAAGTTTGTAGTGATCTGTACGTAGAAATAATTTGTAAAAAAGTAGTTAGCTAATAAACAGCAAAGTATTAGACTATGTGATAAGTGCTCAAAATAAACCAGAATATTAAAAATTTTCTTAATAATAGATGAAAAGTACAAATAAATAAAGAAAGAGACTGATGTTCGGAGTTATAACACTTTATCTGCATATTTCAAATCTAATCTCATATAATTTGCCTATATTGGTATATTATATCATTCATATATTGGTAATAATAAAACCTCAATTTTATACATTTTGATGTGCTATTGCCAGATGTTTAAAAATGAAAAATATATTCAGATTGTGATCAAAATAGCCATACAGGTCATGCTTTAAATACTTCACTAGATAAAAATCTATTCATTTTGAAAGAAAAATATTCCATAGCAATGGATCAAGGATTTCATTTTTTTTAAGGGCTTGATATACCTAAGCAAGAAAAATAAACAGAAAATCACTCTTACTTTTTCTTTCAACATTATGCTGTAGAAAATAAAATGTATATATGGTAATAGTGTTTCCTTTTACAAGTCTTAATAATAATTAAAAAAAAAGAAAAGAAAAGAAGAAAAGAAGCCCATGAAACAGACAAGACAAAAGCTTCAAATAGTCGACAATCTTGTAACAGAGAAAATTTGCGCTAGAGATCTTCTTTGGCATAAATAGAAATATTTTGAGCCCCAAACATAAATGTTTTGACCCTAAACAATGAGTAATCAAGTATGGTTAAAGGAAATACTAGAAATAAAAAATACCATTGATCTGGTTATTATTTGTCACCCATAACTCTGAATGATCAAGTTCATATCAGTTTATAATTAGTGACATTTTACGAGGATATTAACAAAAATGTTCTCGGAGCATCCTGGCTTGATGTTAATATCAAACATAGCTAAACTGAAATTGGAAGGTTTAAAAGATTTTAACAGAATCATTAGGCAGTTCAGGTCTCCTGGCTGTGTGTAAAGAAACAAATTTAAAATTCTTAATCTCTTTTACCAGCTCACTCTGCTGAAGTGCTCAGAAATATCATTTCAAAGACTGTCTTTCTTAACTTCTTTTTAGATGTAAGATGCCTGCTGGTTTGAGATTTTTTTCCATGAGCACAGTGAATAAGATCAATGTACCAAACTTTTTGGATTTTTCCTCTGATGGAAAGACTAACTTTAAAGAACCATATGGAGAGATTTATTCATAAGTTCAATGGTACCTGATAATTTCCCAGAATATTAAAATTGCTTCATAATATCTATAGGTTGCTTCCTAAAGCAATACTGCATCATTTCTAAAGGTATTTAATTGTGATTAATTGTGCAATTGTTTTAATATTTAATATGTGAATGTCCTACATAGATTTGTCACTGTTTTATGTTCATTTGAACTTAAATTTTCACATAAGGGATATTTTAGAAAAGCTATTTTATAATATTCTTCTGTCTATTCCAAACCCCAAAATGTAAAATTTATAAATAAATACAGAGGCAGAATTCTCAAGTTGTCTAAATGGTTTTAATACCATGCTTGTAATTGCCATAAGGAAAAATGTAATGTATTGATATTTTATGTAATATTAATTTTAAATGCTTCTAAAACATGTTATCAGACATTAACTTTACTCAGACACTGTTCATTAGTTTTGTAATTAAGTATAACTTGGTCAGAAAGCCATCTTTAACTTTCTTTTTCTCTTAATGATATATTTAATCATTCCCTACCCTGTGGGCTAAAAAACATACTACACATATTTTTAACATTTTAAAATATTTTTTTCAAATATCTGCTTAAAAGTCCTTAAATTATAACATTTTTAGTTCAATTATATTTATACATTGGTGTCTTTTTTTTAACCTTGGACCCCTAACTGTATTTATTTCATAATCTTTATATCTTATTTAAAAAGAATAAAATGTCGTGACCTATCTTATCCTCTCCCTCTAACTGGACAGTGCAAATAAAAAGAATAATATAAAATTTTGCTCCAAACACTGTGGTCAGTACTTGGAGAATATGGTGAGGTATTCCCCAAGAAATTGCACATAGGAGAAATTGGATTGTTCTTTGAAGGTGGGTTAAGTCACATAATCAGAGTAGAGAGAGTTAGTGAGTTCTGAAAACACCAACTATGTAATACTTTATGACACTTTGCAAATACACCTCTGAAGAGCTTCCTTCAGTTACTGGAGCACCATGCATTCTAGGCAAGCTGAGCTGCATTTGCATGTTAAAACTGTAACATAGACCACAGTATAAGAATTCAAAATAATTAATAGATATAGAATTTGTTTAATGTGTATCCTGCAATCACAAACAGAGAAGTCTTGTCCAATGGACTCAGTATTCTATTCCTTTTGACAAGCTCTTCTTTACAGTAATATAGTCATTAAAATTATCTTAGCCAAGATACCCTTTTCCTTTGACTAAATTTCAATCCAACTTGATAATTATGATGCTTTAAGGCTATGTAGCCTGGCTGCAAGGAGCAGTCTCTTCACACATGCTTTGATATTCTGGTCCTCATTACACCTTAACAACCAGAATACTAATCAGAATTCTGGAGTGTACCTCATTTAGGTGCATTTGAGTTCATCTCTGCCCAGCTCTTTCGGAAAGATAAGCAATATATAATAATATAAAAAATAAAATTAGCACTCCATTATTTGATATGAAATAGGACATGCATGATTTTCAGTCCTATTTCAGTGCTTGGGGGATGAGATGAACTAGGACATCCTAGGAACAGAGTTAGCCTACTCAGCACTAAATCTATTACAAAAGGTTTTGTTTTTCAAAGAAAAATTTATTAGCCATAACATTTTCCTCATGTAGTCATGGTCAGCCTAAGATGTCATAGTTCCCATGTTTGAATCAAGAAAATAACTTTATTACAAGACTGTAATTTCCTTGAGGGCAGGGCTAGGTCTTGATCGTTCCTGTACCCACATACTCATATAATGATAAAGCATTATTTTGTATGGTTAGGCACTTGCACATAAGATCTCTTTAACTTCTCACTCATCTCAAGTAAGGGAGATATTACCTAAGTTTTTTAGATTTGCTAGCTGAAGCCAAGAGAATTAAATTACTTGCCCAAGATTACAGCTACTAGATAGTGGGAAATCTGAACCCAGATCATCAGATGACAAAGCTAGGGCTAAACTGCTATACTATGCCTCTGTGAATTATAAAGTAGAGAGCACCACAGATGATCCCTAAAAATGAACAGTGAGCATATCTGCATCAACAAATGACATCAGTGTTCTTCATCACTGCCGGTCTGCCACAACTTTGCAGAAACTATTTCTGAAGCAGGAACTACGTCGTTTAGCACATACCAGGAACTCAATAACTACTTGTAGAATGAATTAATAAATTTGACAAATTTTGTGCTGATCAAATTTTATCAGGAAACTTATTCTTGAATCTTTACACAAAAGCCTAATCATCAGTATGATCCTCTTTCATGATTAGTTATTTTCCAACTTTGCAATCCCAGTCTGGCAAAGGTGTCAAGTAAAATGAAATTGCTGATATTTGATAGCTTTCCCGGACAAAAAAAAAAGAAAAATTATGTATATTTCACCCTAATGTTTACCTAATATTTTACTTTTTGTTATCTAAGAAATTTTGAGTGAATTTTCCAAGTTGAGCAATCTCACAAATGTATATTTATATACTTATGCCAATTTATTTTTTGTAATCATCTCTAATCATGCATTCCTTTTAGATATAATATGTTCTTCTATTTTCATAGAATCTTATTTATTGTATATACTCTATATTGTCTCTTCAACTTTTCTTAATTTGAAATCCTCTTACACAACAATTTATGTGGGATCTCAGAAATGATTCTAATTTTAGTCTAATGTTCAAAGTAAAACTTATTTTATGAGATAATACATATTGAATATTTGAAGAGACATAACTCAGTATAAGAAAAGTATTAACATAAAAAATTTCATGTGATAAAAAATAAACAGGGCTTTTTATATATCTTCTGCTATTAACGGTATAGAATTTCAAAATACAGTACTGTGAAAATCACTTAGTAGACTAATTCATTGAGATTTCATACACTTTAGAAAGTTAATATACTTAATTTTTAGAGAAGATTTAGTTTTACAGCAAAATTGAACAGAAAATACAGAGAGTCCCTACATACCCTCTCTGTTATTGACTGAATGTTTGTGATGCTCCAAAATACATATGTTGAAATCCAAACCCCCAATGTGATAATATTAAGAGGTGGAGCCTTTGGGAGGTAATTCG